ATTTCTTTTTTATGTGCCTCATTGAATAATTTTTGTTTTACGGACATTTTTGTCGAAAATAAAAACATGTAATTGCATTTACAAACATTTACAAACACAAACAAAAAAAAATAGAATACGATAGGTTTAATTTTTTAAAACACCAAATAATAAGACGAACAAGAACCTTTTTTTAATATTGAAGATGATTACCTACTTATCTATTTTTTTTCTGAACGGTAATCAAAATAGTACAAAATAAATAGAGAAAATATTAACTGTAGGAATTTAATTATAAAAAATAAAATGTATTTAAAATAAATAATTACCAATAGTCGTATTTTTTAATTTTAATTTTTTCCAAAATTAAAAAGATTGGTTTTATTGGGAATTAGAACCGCGTCCCGACATGTAAAGTTGATCAGCTTATGTCACATAATTTATTCAATTAAATAATTAAATATGTGTATTGGCCAGAAAAAAAGATAAAAATAATGTAGTTAAGTACATTAAATAGAATAAAAATGTCTGGGATCTAGATATAAAAATCAACGTTAACAATTTAATCATCAAATTTTACCATTAATATGGACATTACATAGAGATCAAAATATAAATTATCTGTTTGATACATTTGACAGTTGATGCGGAAAGTAGATTTATATTTACACACGAACACACGGGTGAATAGTAGATTCTTATTCACACGCGTATGATGTAGGGCACTTTCAATAAGACTAAATAGTGCATTTTGTATCACCTTCCTAAGTGGTCGTAGGAAAAATTGTTAACATTGTTTTTTATATCTAGATCCTAGATATTTATTTTTATGATTTTTTTTCTGGTTAATTTATAGCATATGTCATAAAGTAGGTTCCATATGAAAATTTTTTCTTAAAAAAATTCTGTTGGGCACTTCGTTTTGAAAAAAATGTCGTAGGAAAATGACCTCTGCTTATTCAAAAACTTAAAAAAGCCCATAGCAAGGTTTGCTACTAACATTATAGCTATCTATGAAATCTGCATTAAAAAAACCCATTTTTGATATGTGCTATTTTAAGTTTTTATTTAGTGGAGGTGAATGCCATACGAAGTTTTTTTCCATTAGTAATAATAAAAATAATTCTCATATAGATGGAACTTTATGCACACACTGTACATATTTGATTAGAAAATTCATATGACATAAGTAAGATAGCTAAATTCATAGTGTGTTTAACTATATCAAAATACATGTCGCAACCGTCGCGATGCCGATTTCATTTCCGATAGAAGCAATCTTTTTTATTTTTTATTTTAAAAAAATATGGAAATTAACAAATATAATAACTGTTGTGTTTTAATTATCTCAGATACATTTTATTTATCATAATATTACAGTTAGAATCGACCGAAACAAATCCGAAACAGAAACCGAATTTCGGCTACTATCTTAGTTTCGGCCTAAACCAAAACCGAAACAGAATACAGAAAATTTATTTAAAGGCATGGCAGGGTAAATATAAATTAAATAATTGTTTTTAATTAAAAATGAGTAAAAAATCGGATTTATTTTTAAAAAATAAAATTTCTGGACCTTAGTAAAACTTCTTAGAAACTTTATCAAACCATTCATAAAAAAAAATTTATTCGGTAAACACGATTTCCTACCACTTTTCAAGTAAAAGCAAATGCCTAATTTTTTCACAATATCCTATTGAAATTAGCAATTTCTTATTGTAATCCTAGTTTAAATTAATTTTTTTTGTACATTTTAGCCACACTAGACAACGGCACGGTCGTCGTTGTGCCGCACGCCGCTATGCGTGATGCGAAAACGTATTTTTCAGACTATAAGATAAGACGATAATACGTACCTCAAATTTATAAAAGGATTATTAGTAAAATATATTTTAATATATTATTTCGAGTACGTACTAGCAATATTCAGTTCATCTTTACCCTCGGTACTATCACTTGTCTCGTTAATGTCACCATTCGTATTACTTTCGTCTAAACTATTAGGCATTCCAACGACCTGTCCAAATGGCTACCAGTGGGTAATGACAGTTTATATATGCCAACCCTGTTGTCATGTTGACATTAATAGTGTCAATGATACATATATAGTTATATAGATTGCTTAAAGCTGGTCGTTTGCGTGCGGCCATATTGCCTGGCAAATATTTATTAATTTGAATCGGTTTAGCAAAAATGTGTTTTAAAACCAATTGTCAGCCTTTAGATATTTAAAAAATAATAACTGCTTACTTTTTTACATTAAGACATAAGCTTATGTTTATTTTGAAAAATATGGATGATCAATCTATGTAACTATCTATTTCATTGACCTTGTCAAATCACCAGGCCTACAGGGTTGCCATAATTTTGCCATATCATAACCTGTCAAAACCCACTGGTAGCCATTCAGTTTGCCTAATTGTTGTCGCTCCTTTCAAAAACTGCGTCATCTATTAACGTTCCTTCGAACCATAAGACGCACCGAAAATTTGAGTCCATATTTCTATGTAAAAAGGTGCATGTTATAGTTTCTGTTTCGGCTGCAACTTTAGCCAGATTGCCGCCCATACCAAAAGTATAGCCAAACCTCTTATTTTAGGAATAAACTCGCCGAAAACTTAACAAACCAGAACCTTCGGTCGGGCACTAACTATAATTAATATTTCCCAAATTTTTTTCAACTTTTTCTGAACAATAATGTTCAGAAATAAATTGTAAATAGAAAAGTAGGTAATCATCTTCATATTTTATAATAAAAAAAGTTCATCTTAATATATGTTGTATTAAAAAAACTAATGAGAAACATTATTGTATTCAAATATTTTTTTCTACCTAATTTTATTTTACCTTTATTAATCTTATGAAAGTGTTTGTAATTGAAATCACAATGTTTTTATTTTGGATAAAACACCATCCTTAAAATACTATAAAAATTATTCAATAAGGCATATAAAAAACTATAAAATCAGCTAAATCTTGACTGAACCTTCATAACCTGATTTTTAAATACTATATAGTAGGAAATCAGTCGATTTAACATTGGGTTCACACATACGATTTTAATACGCAGGGTTACCGCGTCCTTAAAAGGTAATGGCTAAAGGGGTCTATTCTGTAAAAATTCCTTTATATTTAACGGCCTTTAAAAATATTGGCGGCCTTTAAAAGTATATTTGTATTCGTTAATTTACTTCTGTCATTATTTAAACAGATTTCTTTAAGATAGTACTCTAATGTATTTTAAAGATCCGTTTAAATAATGACAGAAGTAAAGAAGAAAATATTTTTAAAGGCCGTTAAATATAAAGGAATTGTTACAGAATAGACCCCAAAGTACTTAAAATTTTAAAGGCTGAAAACTTCGCCTTCACCATCTGACAAACTACAAATCGTTTGTAGGCCATAGTCGAAGAATGCAAAAAAAAGAAGAACAAAACCAACACCCCTTATTTTTAAAATATTATCGTGAAACAAAAAAAAATCAATACAAATATTAAGTTTTTTTACAATTATTACTGAAGGTAATATAGATGTTTTAAGAAATATGCCAGTACGTTTTATCTTTGGCTGTAAAAATGGTTTCAATCAATACCGATCTCACTATTATATAAAGTGACACATTTCGATGCAAAATATAGTTTCAAAAATGGTCCCACTTCTATGATAGTCTCGCGAGACAATTTTTTCTTTTTCAGTTTTTCTTTATGTATCTTTATGGGTATAATCCGGAAATTGATATTGATTGCTTTATCATAGTCCTTTTTTTAAGGAAATGTGCGTTTTATCCAAGAAAGTTTCAAACAAAACTTGTTTAGCTTAAGATTTCCTACCAAAAATGTTTTGTTACATTTCAAGCTAAAACTAACAATGGCGGTTCTAAGGAAGTTCAAGCAATGTAAAATTTTCTTTATTTCAAAAATAAACCGTTCAATAACCAAGCCTCTAATTACAAAAATCTACAGGACATAAATTAAAAGAAATCATTGGCTCTATCGAATATTATTTTTGTAATTTTATAAAAAAAAATGCTCTTCTCTAGGTTATTTTTTTTGATACCGTTGTAAAGAAAACAATAAAATTACAAAATAAATCGAATTTCACGTCGCTACCAATAGATAACGTAGTTCTAACGTGCTAAAACCTTTGCAAACAGATGATTTTTTTTAATTCAGACTCACAAAAATGTAATAATAAACCAAAATATCAAGCTTATATAGTGAACTTTTATTTTATAACAAAGAGAAGGGCGCAGTACTAAATTATCTACGTTTTTTAAAGCTCTGTTATTCATATTTATTGTCCTTTATTTAAAAAGTTTGTTAAACTGGTAGTGGATAAAGTTCGAGAGAAGCAGTTTATCATATTTAACAGAGTTTAACCTTCTGTAGAGCCGTTATCTTTAGTTTCAGCTTAAAATGCTACAGAACCCATTTTAAAAGCAATCTTAATACGAACAACTTTTGTTTGAAACTCTTTCGGATTATTTGCATATTTCCTAAAAAAAAGGAAAATAAAAAAATTCTTTTGCGGCGTCTCTTAAACCAAACCGTCAATTTTTATGTATGGATCGTCATATTCTTAGTATAAGCAAACAAATGCAAAAATACCCTACCTTACCGCAGAAATGAGATTATTTACTTAGCTATCGTGTGCCAGATAAGTAAAAGTCCTAATATTAACAGCAATTAAAAAATACAATTAAAAGATTTTAGTTTTATTTAAATGTTTAAAATTTATTAAAAAATTAATCAAAAGATGTAAAAGCTCTACAATATATTTATTTTCAATTAAAAAAAAATGTATAAATCTTTAAAAAAAAAACTTATAATAATTATCTTTTATTTTTATATTTTAATTTCTTTTAATAGTGTTTAAACGCAAATATTCAATAATTTTCCAAAATATCTGTACACCCCTAATTTTTAATCCCTTTTTCTTACTCATTTAATTTTCTACTTATTTTCAATATTTTTAGTAATTAAATTATAATTTTAAGTCTGATTTTCAAAAATATCACTTACCATTTCTAAAAATCGCCTCAAGCAACTGCACAATAAAAATCCTCACGTGTTATTTTTTCTCACCCACTATATCACTCTGCGATCTATAGCGTACAGAAAGAGCGCGTGCTATCTCGATAGTAGAGCTATCATTCACGGCCTTGTCTTGCAGCTATCTAACTAGGTACTCCAAGAAATCAAGTAAGCTATGAATTTCGCTCGACATAGGCCCCTACCAGAGGCTTCGACTTCTTTGTTTTCATTGGCGCACTCGCGTTTTTACAAAAGAAATATTTAAATTATTTGTTTTATCTATTTTCTCTATTTTATTTTGTTAAGTACTTGAACGTTTAAAGTGTAAACTGAAAAATGAGGTGTTTATTAACATGATCAAGCAAAAATAAAATAAGAATGAAAAAATAAATTAATACTAAAAAAAAGTATTTGTATTCAAAAATTGAATCTAGGTTGAGTGAAAGGATGTATGCGGATAGAATAAATTTGTTTAGTTTTATTTATACAGGGTAATTTAATAAGTTCCAAACGATTTAGAGTTTAATAAAAAATAAACTAAATAAAATTTAAAATAAGGCCATTTTTAATATGACATTTCGTATTTTGAAGATTTAGATAAAAGTTAGTTGAAAATTTTCGATTTATTTTCTCTACCTCTTTCTCTGCTACGCCTAAAGGGTAAGGAATAGAAAATAACAAAAAGCTGGGCCGTAGGCCTTGCCTTAAACAATTTCAAATCGCTCAACTATCCCTCCCCCCCATTTCTGCCTCCCACTCCAGGGGATGTCGATATATAGAACCGCTAGATTTGGGAAAGTTAACTTCAGGTACGATGGATAGGACTTTAAGGCGAAACAAATTTCACCTCTTTCCTCCCCCTACCCCCTCTCCACATTATAAAAACAAATTTTATTTACGAAATTAGACCCTAAAGTCGCACACCTTTGGGTTCTGGAGATTTTCGATCCACCCGCCTCCAACTCCTTTCATCCACGGTTGTATGAAAGACCAAAATGTAAGACTGTATCTGATTTTCGTTACTACTTTCCCCTACCACAAAAAAAGTTGACACATTTTATAACAGATATTAATGATTGGAGTGCTATCAAGAAACCCATATGGAATAGATTTTCAAGTTTATGTGTAAACAATTACTGAAATATAAAAATATAAAACATGTCAATAAGTATTAATATTATATTGAACATCTAGTTATTAAGCAAAATAAATATATTTTTCGTTATAGAAGATGGTAAGTAAAATATTACCCATTCGTTATTTATTTATTTAATACCCAACAGGTTTTACAACCTAATTACAGGATATCAATTTATATACAAGAAAAATTTAGCAAAAAAAAAATAATGGACAGTAAAAGGCATGATTAGTTTACAAATTACAAATTGTACACAATAAATCATATATACAGAGTATTATTACAACCCTATGCTCTCTATTACTGCTACTACTAATTTATATAATTAATTAATATATTACTAATTAACTATTAATATTAATATAAAGAGCTTACCAAAGACACCAGAGTCATACACTATAATTTAATATGTATAACAATATACTTTTCTTATAACGATCTATGGTTACACTCCAATCAATTTCAATAATATTATTTATGTTATTAGCAAGTTTCAGCATGGCTTCTAATGGAGAACAGACAGAAGATCTTATATTTACAAATAATGGTTTAAAACGTGTAAATCTTGATAGTACTTTAAATGGTATTACTGTTAATAAATGTATAGATGTGCATATGCTATTAACTATTTTATATAATAAAGTCATTCTAATTAATTTACGTCTGCTGGTTAGAGAAATAACTTCAAATTCCTCACATAACCGAGATGTTCGAATAGTTACATAATCTGGCCACCGATGATGTTTTTTAAAAAATAATTATCGCAAATACTTATTTTGCACCTTTTCGATAGTTTCTAAGTAGACTTGGGATTGATCTGTCCAAACTACAGCTCCAAACTCAAGTTTTGGCCTTACCAAAGTATTGTATAAAAATTTTATAGTATTGATATTTCTAAAATCAGAAGCTTGTCTAAAAATAAATCCCAAAAAACGCCTGGCACGCTTTACTAATTTTTGTATATGTGTAGCAAAATAAAATTCATTATTATATATAATACCAAGATCTTTGACCTCAACATACCTTGTTAAAATTACCTGATTAATTAAATAATCAAAAACTATAAGCCGTTTTTTCCTAGAAATAGACATTATAAAGCATTTACTCACATTAAAACTCAATTTATTTGCTAGACCCCAATTACAAATGATGATTAAATCCTTTTGAAGAAATATACAACCTCTCACCGTTTGAATTTTCCTAAATATTTTGAAATCATCTGCAAATAATAAAAATTCTGAGTGTGAAACGTAATCAGATGAATTGTTTATAAACAAAATTAAAAATAAATGGCCCAAATTAGAACCTTGCGGAACTCCCGAATTTGCATGAAATTTACCCGAAGTGTTTCCATTATGTTTGACAACAAAATATCTATTTTTGAGATAACTTTTAATTAAATTTAATAAACTGACTGATAACCCAAATTTATATAACTTCTTCAATTATAGGTCATGATTGACTGTGTCAAAAGCCTTTTGAAAATCCATATAGATTACATCCAATTGTAGCCTATTTTCAAAAACTTCACTTACTGATTCTAAAAATAATAGTAAATTAGTATTTATTGACCGACCTGACATAAATCCATGTTGCTGATCCACTACACTATTTTTTACATGGTTATAAATATGTGAGTATATAATACTCTTGAAAAGTTTTGAAGGAGCACACATAATTGATACGTCTCTTTAATTTTCTATATCATTCTTGTTACCCGATTTATATATTGGAGTATATGATGCAAATTTCCATTTTTTTGGGAATGTAAAACTGTTTAGGATAAGATTAAAAATGTGCAATAAAGGCTCTTTCAGCCAACCCTTACAACCCTTTAAAATGTATGGAGGTATACCGTCGACTCCAGCAGATTTCTTTGGCTTTAGTTTTCGCATTGCTATTTCATAATCACTTTCATTTATTTTAGAAACATTTAAGATGTGTGCATTATAGGTTAAATCAATATTATCCAAGTTATAATTAGATTTCTCAGCAGAGTGAACAGATGCAAAATATTCAGCAAACTTGTTAACAGTTTCATCTTCAACTATTTCAGCTCCTCCCCATTTCAATTTTTCCACTTGACTAGCATTACTACTATTTTTACTGACATATGTCCAAAAATTATTAATATTATTTTCGCTTATGTTATTTTCAATTTCCTGTAAAAAAATTTTATGTTCTACGTTTATTAAAGATTTTATTTTCCTTCTGGTTTCAATATATTTATCGTTATGATAATCAGTTGCATATTTTAATTTTCTATAGCTGTTTTTTCCTTTAATAAATTTTTAATCTCACTTGTAAACCATTTAGGATATTTATTGCAATTTTCGTAAGTTTTATATTTAAGGACTGTTGCCTCAAATACACTATACATTTTTTTATAAAATATATCTAGTGCTATATCAACATTAAAATTCCAATGTAACAACCAGTTTGTTTAAAATCCATTTTTTCTAAGTCCTTAACTACTTGTTGTCATTATACTATTAAGGGATAAAGGCAGCACCGTCACCAGCCCTAGGGTCCTGGAGTCCTGAAGGAACATCCATTCGCCAGTGGCAAAAGAAAACAATAATAAAAAATAATAAAGTACAAAAAAACGTCCCTTAATAGCATATGTCGAGCGGTTTTGGCAACTGACTTAAGACTCTCAAGCACTTAGGGGGTAGAAACGTCAAGGCTTAACATGCTCGGAATATTTCTTACTGGTTTTTTGGAAAGAGGTGAGAATAAAATAGGTTAATAAACAGAAACATGTATATTTAAAATATAAGTAAAAAATTATTAACAATTTCAATAAATCAGAACAATCTTTATTTTAAAATAAGACACACAGAAATTACTATCCACAATTGAAAATCTTTAATATGATAAACCATTTTATTATAATATAATCTATGATAAAACTTTAATATAATAAAACCTTTTATGTCACAAAACTTTTAATATAATAAAACTCTTTATATGATAAAGCCCTTAAATCTGATAAACATTTAATAAATAAACTTGGGACGAAAGAATTGGCATTTGAAGAAAACTAATGAACTGTTTTTAAAAAAACATAACCCAAACAAGAGATTTAGAGATGTTAAAATAAAATAGATATTACCTTTGAAACAAAATCACTACTTACACACTTTACTATATACAATAAGGCGCTTCGGGACATAGGGTCCCGAAGACCACGTAATAGTTAAGTTACATTTTTGGGCATAGGTTTGGCCCAACGGCCGCCCCTTGAGTTGTGAATCACCCTGTATACAGTCAGACGTAAAAATAAATTTAATATTATTATTATTATTACTATTAAAAGCAAAATTCTTCATACATATTTCTTATTTCTATAGGTATATCTACATTTTCATTAAAACTCTTGAGAATATTAAATCGTAAACCTCCGTTCCCATCCAACAGCACGCTTATGTTCGTTTTACTTGCTCTCCTTGTATATCTTCGTCTCTATCGACTATCAACATATAGCACGGCAAATTCGAAAGTTAAAGTCGGCTGTCTTTGTCCCACACGTAGTTTTGATTTATTATTCTGTTTCTTTTTAAATTGAAGGACTGTTCGATTACTTACCTTTCTCTTCCTAGTCAAGTTTTATGTAGAGGTGCGTGTGACTTTGGAACGGTTGTAAACGTTTTCATAAATATTAGAAATAATACAACCTTTTTTTAAATGAACTAAAAGAGTTGGTTATTTGAACTGCTTTAATTAAAATATACGATAGCTTGGTGAACTAATTATTATATTTCTTTGCTATAAACTCAATCTTGAATTCTGTTTTTACACAAATGAGATCCCCAGTACTATTGTATTCTTGCATTAAAATTTTCACACCAGATCAGATTTTTACTAGTGGTAAATAGATATTCCCTTTCAGCCAATGGACTCCAATTATTCCTGTCTTGGATTGTCGTCTGCTCTCCCGAAAGTTGCTCCACTAGATCAACTAACAGACATCGTTAAATACTCTCATTAGCTGAATTAACGACTTAAAT